GATTTCAGGGCAGCGGCAAGCCGGGCATTTTCCCCCTGCTGGGCAGGAGCTCCTGCACTCCCTGCCTGTGCATGGCTTCTTGCTCTACCCTGCACCTCGCTGGTGGTGGTGCTCCCCGCAAAAAGCCTTGCTTGGCACTGCGTGCTTGGGAGTCTGTCCTAGTTCTTGGCCTTTTTTTTGGCGTTTGCTAGCTTCTTGGCTTGGATGTAGTCTTTCCATGCCTGGCGACCTGGCAGTCGCAAGCCAGTAAAGTTGGGATCGATGCAAGTGGAACACCCTTTGGAGTTGCCTCTGCACCTAATGCAACCGAAAATCTCTATCGGCTTGGCAGTCTTGGCCTCTTTGGGCTCCTGCCTCATGGCCGGTGCCGCAGCTGGCCGCTTCATCGCCGCAGCTGGCCGCTTCTTGATCGTCTTGCTTTTGGGCTTGGCCTGGTCCTTCTTGCCGGTCTGGAGCTGGTTGAAAGCATCCTGCTCGAAGTCCTCGAGGGTTTTTTGGTCCTGCAATGACATGTCTTTCAATCCCTGTATCCCTCTTGATCAGAAAATGGCGAAAGCAAAAAGTGTCCTGCATGGCAAGCTGCTCCTTGGCCTCAGTGGCCTCTGCAGCATCACCGGCTGCTTTGGTGTCTTCGGTGGTCACTGCAGTGGCAGGAGAAGCCGCTGGTGGCAGCCACGGCAAAACCTGGTTCGCCGGTGGCTGTGCTGGGCCTGCATGGTTCGCCGCTTGCTGGGCCTGGCCGTGCTTGGCCTTCAACTGCTCCAGCTCTTCTTCAAACGTAATGGCTGCTTGTGGTGTTGCAGGTGGTCGCTTGCTTCTGTACCTGTTGCCGTTGTTGGCCGACAAGGAAGCATGGGTGCTTCGCAAGGGCACCTTGTCATGGTATGTTTCTCTTAACAAACTTAAAACAGAAAACCAACATGTGCCTGCAGGGCATGCTCTTGATGCAAGCCAAGCGCCTTTTTCAACCATGGTGCCATGCAGGGCTCCTGGCCCAGTGGCTTCTCGCTTGGGTAAGCTTTGCGGAGCCAAACTTCTCCCATCTCGTTGGGGTTGGGTGGGTAGGTCGCTGCTCCCGGGCAAGTGCTTGGTGGCAAAGCCTGGAAAATCAGAGCAAAGTCG